TGTGGTGGTGGCAGTGGGGGTGGGGGGTGTTGGCTGCTATTTTGGCAGGTGTCAGGGACAAGTCTAAAGGAATATGTACCCCACGCCATATAAGCCCATGTGGTCCTCCAGCTGCTCAGATAAGCTATTTAAAACCAGAATAGATATGCAGGGACAGCCATGTAACACAAACCAGCTGTCCCCCTTGAGAATCCTGATAAAGCAGATGCCAGCAATCCAGGCCTGGGAGGGCAGGCTGGAAGCAGGGCTGGGGGGCAGAAGGCAGCCTCCAAGACACTTTGCGAGTCTCTGTGCCAGGGTCCTGGGGGGCAGCAGGTATGAGCTTATCTGCAGTTATACTTGAAATGACGCTGTAGGTAACATTGTCTTCCAGGCTACTGGATGCCTCCAATGGGCTAAGCAGCCTGGGGCAGGTCACAGGCTCTGCAGGCCTCAGTGAGGACATCTGTAGAGGGGTCTTCTCCAGGACCTGCCAAAGCCCTGTGGCAAGCCCTCCTCACAGGGAATGGTCTTAAACTACTACAGGAGGTCAGTGTAGAACCTCCAGTCAAGAACAGTTCTTCCTGGACAGGCGGCCGGGTTGCGTGGAGAGCAGCAAGGACTGCTGAAGTTCATTCTCCGTGGGCTTTGAAACGAAGCAATGCGGGACCGTGATCCGCTAAGCCTAGATTGTGAGATGCACAAGGTCAGGGCCCAGGGGGTTGTCGTTTGCTTGCATGAGTATGTCGTGGCTCTGAGCACACTGCCTGACACATTGGAGGGCTCAGTACACAATGCAAGTGAAAGGGGAGGCAGGCAGGTCTGGGGCAGCTGAGCTGACTCCCCCCCTCCATCTCCCTGAATCTTCACAGCCCAGGTCCTGCCTAGCTCTGAAGGAGGAACAGCCTTGCTCTGGACCAGGCCCACACCTCCCCGTCAGCCCCCAGGCATGTCCAGATCTTGCCCGTTCATGATCCACTCTTCTGTTTCTCCGTGGACAGAGAAAGCAGTCTCACCCATCTCTGCCCCCTCCTCCCCTCGCCTGAGCACGTGTCCAGCCTCCCCAGTCCTCAAACGCTCCTCTCAACCCTGCTGCCTGGGGAGCTCCAGGGCTGCATCTCCACAGCCAACGTCCTTGAAAGAATCCTCTGCACCCACACTGCTGTCAGACTCTCGCCTCATCGCTCAGCTGACGCCATCCCCTCCATGGTTCCCAGTGGCCTCTGAGCCCATTGGCCTTGACACCCCGGCACCAGGCTTATCCCCTGCCACGTGGGCCTCCATGCTGCCAGAAGATCAGGGCAGGGCACACTGCAGCCACGTGCCTGTCTGCCAGCATCCTCGGGGACAGGGAACCCACAGGAGGCAGCGGAGCTTGGCAGAGAGAGGCAGGTGGGGACAGCACATTCACAGGACAGCGAGGAAGGAACCAAGCTGAGAAAGAGGTGGGGGACCTCCTCACCCCACCTACCCACTCTAGCCCTCCAGGGCCCAGCCTTGCTTGTGTCCTGGCTTGGCATCTCCCAGAATTTAGGAACTACTTTTCCTAAACCCTCCTTTATCTCGGGGATGGGTTACTGCACTTTCAGTGGGATACCGTTCCTCGTAAGCCCAATGACCCTTCAAACCAGCCATAATTTGTTCGCATGGATGCCTGGAAGAGGGATCTGAGCCTCTAGATCCCGACAGAGCCCCATGGGGAAAATCCCATAGATTCTTGGTACACACAGACCACCCGTGTAAGGCTTCTACTAATTGTTCTAAGTCAGGGGCTTGATTTGGAGAGCCGTGAGGCAGCCAAGACTCACAAGATTAGCCACTATCCCGTGGCCACATTTTGACATAGCAGGGCTGCTCCCAACCCATTTTGGATGCCCCGTCCTTGCAAAAAAGTCACCTCCCAGTGCTAATGATAGATCGGAAGACAAAACAAACCAGAATGGTACAGGACGAAGCACATGCTGAAACTTGTGGGTCTCAGGGCCACTGTGGCAGGAGCGCACGAAGTCAGGTCACGGAGTGGTGAGTGGGTGAGACACCTGTCTCCAGAGGGTGCTCAACTGCCACCTCCACCAAGAGGCCCCACCCACCACCCGCCCACCTCTCCGCCCAGTCCTGCCGTGTTGCACTTATCCCAGCTGAGGTCACCCTGTGAGTGCGTTTGTCTCCTAGTTTACTGGCTGCTCGCCGGACAGGAATAGGGCAGGGCCCTCTTGTGTTGGATGCGTGAATGCGGAGGAAAGAAAGATGTGGATACAGTCGTGCCCCCACCCCAGACTTTCTCGCCAGCAGCCTGCCCTCGATGAGCACCCTGGGGAGGGCGTGCAGGCATGAAGGACCCCACCACTCTGAGGCTGCAGCTGCCAGAACAGCTCCAAACACCTAGGACCCAGCCACTTCCTTGGTGTCCTCTCGGGCTCCAACCCCAGTGGTTGGGCTCCACTGCCTGAGGAAGTCTTCTAGGCGCCTCTCCTAAGAAAAGCCTGTGTGGAGATAGTTTTGCTCACTGGAAAGTTCACCTGTCAGGGGGACTTTCCAAAGTCTAGAACACAAGCATTTGAAGGTCCTTAGAGATCATGTGCTTGAACCCTGAGGCTCAGAGAAGGAAAATGTCTCAGGGTCACTCCCTGAGTCTCTGGCAGATCCAGAGCAGTTCTCCTGAGTCTGCACAGCATCCAACTCCTCTATCCAGCCCCAGCTTTGTTCTCAAACTCTCAGCAGTGGAGCTGGAGCACTTACAAAGCTCCTGCCTTGGTAGTGGGTGGGAGGTGCTCAGGGCAGGGCCTCCAGGTCCTGCTACCCCTAGCTTTAAGCAGGCAGAGGGGGCCAGCCACAGCAGACTCACCGGCTGGAGGTGGGCCAGCCTGGGGCCACTAGCATGTCTGCATAGGTCATGCTCTGAGGGCCTTCTGTACCCTGGACCACGGGACCCAAGACGGGAGCCCTCATCCAGAATCACAAAGGCCAGAGCAGGGCTGGCTGTTCCTACCCCACAAGCTTGGGGAACTCGGGCCTGGTGATGCCCTTAAGAGGTGCATTCTGAGAAGCCCTAGAGTTTCCCCAGGCATGCAAAGGGGGAGTGGGCAGGCCTCTGCACCTGTTTTCACCACCAGGTGGTTCTGGGTAAAACCAGGGCAGTCAATCAGGAGTAAGAGTTCTAATGATTAAAAGAAAAAAAAAATTTTTTTAAACTACACCCTTAAGGGGTTTGACAGGGCACCTGACTTTAGTTTGGGTTATCCTAGATTCTCTGCTGGCCCAGCAGTCTCCAAGTTCACAGGGCCATGATGTCAGGAAAACAGGATTGGATTTGGGAAGAAAGGGGAGGGGAGCAGGCCTGGCCCTGTATGTGGCAATTCTAAACTCCCAAGTCACCAAGCTAGGGCCACTGGGTGGCAAGTGGTCCTAGTGTGAGAAGGAGCAGGGACTTGGAAAACAATGATCTTCCCCCCACCCCAGCCAAAATAATGCTCACACACAGTGGACAATCCCTGTTAGAAAGCAAAGCCTCTAGGAAAGAATTCATCTTTAAGGCATCATTAGTCTCTTACACCTGCGAGTGAATGAGTTTATCAGATCCTTCCTGAGAACAGGTTTTTCAGAGAGAGGTTAAGTGGTTGCACAAAAAAGCACTGAGCTCCTGGCCCAGGCAGCAGGCCAGGGAAGGGAGGGGAGAACAGAGCAGGGAGACAGGCATGGGGACGATGCACAGCAACACCGCAATCTGGCCCTAGTGGGCCGAGCAGCTAGGAGCAGGCCCCAGGGTGGGCCCGGGCCTCAGTGAGGGAGACATCACAGGCACATGGAGGCATGTGCTGGAACATGAGACAGATGACCCCCAGAGTGAGCAGGGAGGAGGGGACATCCCTGGGTTGGACACGTGAGCCCTGCAGCTGATGTGTGCCAGTGCTGTGCGGGGAGCTGACGCTGGTCCCAGCATCTGCTGTGCCTGCAGCAGGACCAGAAGGTGCCAGGACACACTCGCCCCCAGAGGCTGAGCCAGGTGGGAGCTGGATGAGTCTCACCGAGATTCCAAGTCCCCAAGGGCCTGGCCAGAGAGGTCCAGAGGCACGGAGAGAGCAGGGGCAGTGAGAGACAGAGACGCTGCTGCGGGAGGCAGAGGCCTGGCACAAGGAAGGCCCTTGAGACGCAGACATGCAGGTCTGTCTTGGCAGGGCTTGTCACACCTGTGGGGCAGAGGTCTATTAGAACAAGGGAAGGGAGGCACCCTTTTGTTCACACCCCACACCCATGGGGTTGGAGACCTAAAATCTGCTGGTTGAAGGGGGTGGGAGCTCTGCAGAGCTGTGGGGGAAAGGGTTCTGTGCCAGCATTCTCCTGGGTGGCTGGAGCCAGCCTGATACTTGGATACTTGGACTGTGAAGTCTCAGGCCAGTTAGTGTGTTCATGTGGGTGGGTAGGTGGGGGTCTCCCACTGGGCAGCCCTCTGTCCCCAGGCCAGGTCCTCGCCACTGTATTCACCTCCACATCCAGTGAGGACTCTGATTTCTTTCCCCATTGAGTCTTCTTGGTGGCTGCCGACTCTTTCTGTACCTCCTGATTGTGGGCATCAGGGTGGAACCCAGGGACTAAGGCAGGGCTGTGGAGGGGCTTGGGATCCCCCAGGCCCACCCCACCCCTGCCCAGGATGGCCTCCCTCTTCCTGAAGGGGAGGAGGACCCCAGCCCCACTCCCCTCTGCAGTCTTCTGACTCACAGGCTCATCCCTAGTTCCTCCCTCCCCTGACCCAGATCATTCCACCAAGAAAGGACCCATAGGAAGAGGCATCAGAGAGGGACAGGGTACCTGGGAGTTCTGATCGCCAGACTCCTGGGTCCTGCTGATCCACAGGTTGAGCCTTGATGTCACGACCCCTGAGAGCCTCAGGTTCTCCTAAAAAAAAAAAAAAAAAAAAAAGAGGCTTCCATCTCAGGCTTTGGGGCTACTGATAACAGCAAGGCATCTTCAGAGGCCCTGGAACAGGGATGGGACTCTACCCCACTCCCATATATGCCCAGCACATGCCATATATACCTGAGACAGTTCCCACCCCTTCCCACAGGGAGCTATGTGCGCAACTAAGGAGACTTGGGCTCAGGAACACAAACGGTAGGTCAAGTCAAGATCTGCCAACACTAACTAACGCATGAAAATAGAGTTTTCTAGCACTGCCAGAGCCAAGGCTCAAGCTTTAGAGACCTCAGGGCTAATCAGCCTGAAGACCCCTGGCTGGGCCTGAGCCCCCTCACCTTCCGGCTGGAGGCTGGTTCTGTGCGGCTCTGGCCTGCCAGTTCCTTCTCAAAGAGATGGCGCTTGCTGGCTACACCCACAGGAGCCACAAAGAACTCGGTGCGGGAGGAGCCTGAAGACTTGACGGATTCTGATCTCTGGGAATGGAGCACACACACCGCTGACCCGCACTGGTAGGGAGCATGTGCACACCCACCACCCTCGCCAGGCCCCCGCCGCCCCTCTGCAAGAGCCCACGCCCACCTGTACGGCTGTGTGGTATCGCTCCAGCTTCTCCCCGAACTTGACCGTGCTGGCTGGGAGCCTCATGCTCGCACTGCAGGATAGGACAGCACAAAACAAACCAAGTGAGACAGCCCCCACCGGGAGACGGGGCCTGCCCCAAGCCTGAGGAGTAGCCCCCGTCACACCCCACCGTTCTGGCAACTACAGCACGGCCATCCATCACAGAGCAGACCGCACCGACTCGGCCAAGGTGGAGAACTGAGACTCCAGGAAACACCCCATTCACTGGGATCGGAAACACCTTCACTCCCTCCTCTCTCCTCCCACATCCGGCCATTTCCAGCTCAGAACCGTCTCCTGATCTGGCCCTTCCCTTTCATCTCCCTCACCAACCACCTCCTGCTCTCCTGCCTCCCATTCCCGAGCTCTCCTCTCCACTCCCACCAGGCTGCTCCTACCTCAAGCAAATCTGGTCCTGGCCTTCCAGCTCAGACCCCTCAGGCCACAAGACCCCTCGGTGTGGGTCAGCACACCAAAGCTCTCATGATCTGCTCCCTCCTCTCCTGAGGCCAGCGCCACCCCCGGTCCCTGCTAACGTGACTATGTGCCAGCCAACTGGACACCTCGTGCTTTTCACTGTGCCTTTTCACATGCTGTTCCCTGTATTTAAAATGCCATTCTTCCAGTTCTCCACCTGGAAATCTCCCACATGTTCTTCAAGTCCCACGTTGAACATCAGTTGCTCTGCGATACCTTCCCCAGCTCTTGCAGGCTGAGCTTTGCAGCTACTACCAAGCTCCTGGTTCACCTCCTATCCCTGCACCTGCCTGCTTTGGTGGCTCTTGTGGAGAGTGGTCTCCTGTGAGTTGCTGGAGGGCAGCAACTGTGTCTTCCTCATCTTCATACTCCTCGTCCTCCATGCCTACCCCGCCTCCAGGCCTAGCCTAGTCTAGTCGGCTTCAGTAAATGTTTAGAGGGAGATAAATGCAGCATGAATGGATGGCATTCCTAACACATAAGCACAACTGCTTTTCAGATCCTATTTCAGTTTTTTTTTTTTTCAAAGTGCAATCCTCAGACTACTCACATCAATTTTATGGAATATGAGGGTGCTTGCTAAGCATGCAGACTCCCAGGCCCCCACACCGGGCCTGCTGAAGCAGAGGTGTCCCCTCCCTCACAGTGTTCATGGTCTCCCTCCTGGAAAGCCCTCCTCCTCTAAACCCTTCTCCCTGCTTTGGAGCCCCACCCAAGCCCTGCCTCCCCAAGAAGCTCTCCCCAATCCCTCCCCCTCCCTGCTCATCTCACCCAGCCTCAGTCCCTCCTATTAATCCTGTCCCCCTGTGCAAGAACCGCACGTCCCCTCGTGTGCCCTATGGTGCAGCCGGGTGGGTGGCAGGTGCTCAGAAAACACAGGCTGACCATGACCAGAGAAGAGAGGGGGACCAAAGCCTCCAGGCCTCCCACCTGCGGGTTAAGGTGGTCTCTGAGTTGTCTTTCCTGGGGCTCATCTGAAATGAAAAAGAAAGGCGTTGGTGAGTGGGAGTCCCAGCGAGGCCAGTGGCTCTCTCAAGTGAGGGGCTCAGCTCTCGGGACACCTCCCATGCCCCCTTCCACTGCTCGACTCCAACCAAAGGAATACATGGCCACGCCTTCATTACAGGCCCTCGTCTTGTCTGGGAAACCCCTGCCCCCACCGACCTGTCTGGGTCAGAAGCCCCTCCTCCTCAGGCTTCTTTCTCAGGGTATCGTGAACCAGCTGTTTTCCTATCTGCCTTTCCACTGCACATGAGCCCTGTGGGGCCCTGATCGACATCAGGCCTCCAGCCTCCCCCCAGAGCCTAGCACATATCACAG